AACGCTTGGGCTCGGGCGAGCGCCTAGGCGGCGCCTGATTGAAGCGCGCCGCCTGGGACATTAGCGAGGCGCTCGGGCCTCGCCTCGCCTCGCCCGAGCGCCTAGGCGAGCGCCCGAGCGCCTTTTGCAATCACTGGGTATAATTAGAGCAGTTGGAGCGTTGGACTGCTCTAAAGCCCATATTCATTTAAGAGAGCCCGACAAGTTAGAGGACAAGGTCGAGTGAGCGAACGTTGCTACCAATGACACAAAGGAAAATAGAATCAAGCAAGCCCTACAACATGATGGCAAAGGCCCTGCATGGAAGTTGCAATTTGTCTTTATATCGACCAAAGAGAACTGCTCGGAGAACACAAAAGTGTTAAAGTAGGTGGTCAAAAGGACCGAGCAAGTGACGACGAGTCCAAAGGGACTTAGCTACCTAAAACCAAGCGTTAATTAAAATGGAGGTAGACTCGAGGGAGTGTTATAGTGTCGCAAAGGCGGATCTACTGATTGTGAAGGGACGCAAATACAAGGCAACGGATAGGACTATGGACATGACAACACCATGGTACCGTATAGGCGGGATTTCTGTAGACTCATTGATCCCCTACTCTCATGGAGAGATGGTGAATGGTCGTGAAATGGGTCAAAAAGGTGGAGAATATAGAGGCAAACTCTAAGTATTGAGACAAGACCGAAAGGCAAAAGCTAGGTAACTTTGTAAAATCGGTGTCGACGGGCTTCCCATCAAGATAGTCGAAAGTGAGGGACTTCGGATCAATGCAGGAGTGATCGACCAAGGAACAAAGTAGGCAGTGCACGATGTTGTACCCTTTCTACTTAGAGGAGTAGGCAGCGAAAATGATGGAGAACACTATACAATCCTAGAGGTGACCAAAACTATCAGAGACTTACTCTAAGTTAGGACAAAATTTTGCTCTTTTCGGGCAAAACTTCTTGCATTCCAAAAATTCGATAGCAATGAGGCAGCGAATTTTAGTAGCTAACTCAACACAAGAAGTGCAAACACTTCGAGCGTTTCAGATTCAGAAGTGGGAGCAAAGACTAAGTAAAGGATAATAACCAGCCTGATGCATAAAGCCCTCGAGGAGGTGGGCAAAGTCAAGTAACCTTTGCCTTATCCAATACAGGAGCTCTACACATATTCAAAGATCCTTCGGAGAAACTTAGTGGAAGACAATAGTTGTCAAATCCTCCCCAATGGTGATCGGTTCTACCGAGAGCAGATTGTTTATTTCATTTCCCCATAGAATGTCAATCGAAAACGAAAGTAATGTAAACCTACTTAGAGATGACAACTAAGCGAAAGAGAAATCAATGAACAAACTTTACAAAGGAAAGACCTCAAAAACTTTAAATTCTACGAAGGGATACTTGTTAAAGCTCCAACAAGCATCCACCCAATTCAAGCGACGTGAGACGTTTGAGAGAATAACACATAAAGAAGGTTTTTTCTTTCATCTAAGGGATTTGTAGGAACCAGCAAAGATCAGCACAACTCGACTGACCCCACACTAGAGTCAGAGTCATTAGCGAGTTGAAGCAACGTTGGCGGATCAAAGCTCAACTACTCAGTAATAATGACGGAGAGCAATTGAAAGCCAAGAGACACGTTGCAACTATATCAGAAGATTAAAGATTCAACAGAGGCAATAAGATGCAACGACCACAAAGGCTTCGAAAAGGATGTCGACGAAATAAATGAGGGAGAATGTCATGGACAAAGCTGTAAACAATGTGCTCGATGTAATGCTTATGTACGTCCGTGTCTTTTGATTTTGTTCGTGCTTTGCACATCATATAGAAGGCTTACAGTAGATTTGGCAACCTCATTTTGGCTGGCTTTTGTGACTGTTTCAATCTTGTAAACACAGGTTGTGCGCAGTTGTCACACAAAGGCAAAATTGCATAGAAACAAGCCATCCAGGTAGTCATTTTGGGGAATTTCTAGCTCCGCAACGTGGTGCGGAGTGTCAACCAATACAGCACCCAGGTGCAGCAGTGTCATGCAACCACTTGTAAGGACTTTTGGCCACAACGGACCACCTTGGACCCTTTATCGCGCGACCACTCAAAACTAGCAAAATCTAAGTTTGTAATTTGCATTGTCTATCAAGTGTTTGCTGAAATGGTTACTTGTGGGATCTTGAGTTAAACACTTCATCTAAACCGTCTTCTCTTTTGTAAGTCCTTAAGGGATCATAAGAGGTTTCCGAGAGCCTGACTCTTTGCGGATGGACACGCAACGTTATCGCACGACTTAGGCAAAACCAGTTATGTTCATGATAGCAAGGGTCCTGGTGAAGTTGTTGACAGGTCACCAAGGCAATGGCCATGCGAGTCGTGCGATGGAAGTTGGTGAAGTCGTCGACGGGGTTTACATCATCAAGGGTGCAACCGCGGGTCACGTGCGGGTGCTGGTGAAGTAACCGATAGGGGTGAGGTCGCCGATGGGTCATGGTGTGTACGACGGTGGCTTCATCCATCATGTGGACGACGAATGCAAGTGGGCTCGATTTCCCTCAATTTCATGCTTCCTCGCCATCATATGAAGCCCACACAACTCATCGTCGCACACAAGCATCACGCGAGGAATGGGAAGGGCACGAGAGAAGCGTCCGACATAAATACACCATATCTCAAATAAAAATAAATAAATAAATAAAAAGACACGTGACTGATCGTGTCAATGTCTGTGTCTGGCATGGATACGTCCACCAAATTAATGTGTCTATGCTTCCCAGGCTCATGTAATAAAGAATAGTAAAAGAATCACAAATACTAGGACAACATTGTTGAGACACCACGAGAGCTTAAGCCCCATCGCTTTACAAGTAATGATAGATTGACTAAGAAGGATAAAAGAAAAGACCGAAAATATGTGTTAGTGACGAGAGGTATGTGAAAGATTTACATGGTGCTTCATAAGCGCTACAAACTTGCCTAGAAACTATAACTGATACTAAAAATACATCTAAAAATTAGTTGCTATAAAACTCTGGTTACACGCACTATACTCATATCTCTTTATACCTAGTACAAATATTTCCTCCATTTGCAGCAACCAGAATTCTATGAAAATTCCATGTGTTGGGTTTTAAGTGTTTCTTCTTTGGTGCTTATCACATATTTGAATGTTTCTACGTCATTACATAGCATACATATTTGAAACCTGTGCTTGTCAAGTAATTAGGAAACAAGCTTTTTACATAATGGGGCTGATAAATATGTGCTTCTTTTCCAGCAGTCATGGCCAATTATTGGATGCCAAGAGTTCTAACCTAATACATAACACGATCACCTAATATATTAGTAAGTAGTATCAGTTTTCCACCAGTAGCCTGGAGAAGTTAAGACAGTAAATATTAAAAACATAAGGGTCAGGCTAGGAAGACTTTGTTGCTTAAAATTGTTTGAGGCACACTTTTTTTAGCTCAAATCTTCCTAGCCTACCCCAACAAAAAACACAGATTATCAATATTTAATACACTTATGAAATGAGTGTATTATCAATATGTAATCAATAAAAAAATGCAGGTAGTGATACTAACAGGATTTTACTAATTGGCCAATCTTTGAAATGTCCCAGACCTGCCAAAAACCCGACAAGGTTCAATATGAGCAAGGAAATTGCAAAAAATACACCACAAGCACTAAAAAGAAAGACGACCTTCAGGGATGAATCTGAAAATCCACCGGCAACTAATGAGCCATCTTGAGATATAGATGAACAATTTAACCTAGCAATAATTTGAAGGGGGAAAAAGCAGGTCACAACAGATAAACCAATTATTATGGTACAGAAAAAAAGGTTGTGAAAAGATAGGATATGAGCCATAATCAGTTAACTGTTACCTGTTACAAGTGTTTACGAAGGTATAGAAGCTAATAGATGGCAGTGCCAAGCTATTTAATTGTACTCGACTGCGTAGGTCCTCCAGAATGGCCTGTTCAACTTCCACAAGCCTGAAATACTCAATAACTTACAACATTGTACAGCAAACAATAAATTCAGAATTGTTACATGCCAGCTTCAGTCTAATGCATCCGTTTCTCAAATTAAAAACCTTGATGAATTAATCATAGTAATATGAATACTAAATCTGTTAAGGAACCTCGAAGCCCAGAATAACCAAAGTAATATGCCAAGATAGGACATTACAGCTTAAACCTAGCCTTTAAACCCATAATATCTCTAACAAATTAAACCCATAAATTTAGCCTTTAGTTTCAAAAACAATTACCATCATTTAATGCAATTTGAGTCAATGTGCAACTAGAGGTGCTCATCTATTATGGCTGAATTGGTCATAGTTTAAATAACCTGATGTATATGCAACATAACCATTGTCCCGAATATGCACGTTATGGTTGCATATTAGGATGTTCAGCAGTCGTAATTAACCTTACTGAGCAGTTTGTTACAAAACCCTAATTCAGCTAATTGAGCAACATGATGAAGACAATGACATGCCTTATCAGATGGACCAAACATGTACAAACTTTCAGGTGAAACACATCTCACACTCATACCACACCTTTTCACCATCCAGTCTATGTGAGATGTGAAAAAAAGCAGGAAACTCATCCTTATCTCTGAGAACATAAAGAACCATGAAAACACTACAATATAAGTAGAACAAGATGCATACAGAAAAAGAGGGAGAAAATGAGGTCAAAGAATCATGTTTATACGTTGTAGGAAGAGTTAGCTCTGGTTTCACACGTGGGGCCACGGACACTGCACTCGTCTCTGAGCGAACATTTTTCCCCACCATGTTGACGAGTTTGTCCTTTTTAACCATTTTGACAGGAATACCCTGCTTTCCTCCATCAAGTGGCCTCTTCTGAATTAATGAATTTACAGAAATCAGGACTAGCTCAGAAAACAATAAGTAAAAGAAATTACATGCTCAAATGGAAAACTAAGACATGGAATAGGACAGTGAATTGTACTACTATCATGAAAACCAGAATTAGGATCAACAACCAAGTACCAATTAAACAAAACTCCACATTTACAAGTACCAATTAAACAAAACTGCACATTTGCAAGCTCAAAGGACCAATTTATTAGCAATAGGCAATGACAATCGATTGTTACATATAAAAAGTACCTTCACGAAAGCAAGGTAAACAAATCCAGTTTGATTAAGTCAGTTTTATCCACGACTTTGTTGAGAAACAAACATTTTACAATAAAAAAAACATAAATGGACCAGCTGTATTTCTCTACTAATAAAAGGACCAACCATTTCATCATAACTTTTAAAAAGTTGGGCTTAGACTAATTAGTCAAAATTTTAGAATCTTCAGGCCATAGCACCACACTCTAAGTAACTCAAGACGTCAAGAGGAAGGGGACCATGGATGAAAGTGAATGCCACAGCCCATTCCTTTAGTGCCGCTACAGATTCTCCATGGTCCATCGGCAAACAAGGAGAAAACTGATTATTTTATCCCCTCCAACTTTATTCAATGTCCCACATCAGCATGCTTGTGAGTGTGATGGACTGTGAACAATACACATACCAAGAACAGCACCATTCCTTGAGTCAACAGCTCCTTTAAACTTTTTTTTTTCCTGTAATACATCAAGACTGCCTTGTGTATGACAGTTAATAAATACTTCTATTTGGTACAAGCAATCATAAGTTTGAAAGATAGAAGATACTTCCAAGTTCCAACATATTTATATCAGATTCAGTTTACTGATGATCACCGGAACCAGACCAGATTTCATTGTTATTCTTTATTCAATTAACAATCACCTGGTTGCATATCGTCCGGGCCAGCAACAACTTTTACCTTTATCAATAAAAATCTTACCCAAGACGATCTTAAAAATTTCTACATGACCATTTATTTTTATCTTATTTTTTTCTAGATGGCCAAGTAATTGCATATTTTTTGTTTAATGGACTGCCTGTTTACATCATATTTCCCATTTATTAATTTTAGATCACTCTTGAACGTTCTTTTGCTAAAACAACTGCATACTTGGTCTAAGAAATTATTGTTATTTCTTTGAACTTAGGTTTTTACAGGATTTTCTTTAGATTTTTCAGGTGAACAACCTAAATTCACTGTCAACGTTAAGGCATCACCAAGGCACTTTGGGGTGTTTTGCTGCTAATGGATCACCTAGCCAACTTGATGACATTGCAAAAGGCAACACACTGCAAGTTATACTTCATATCCAAACATCTAATTGTGGAATGGGAAAGTGCACATGAAGCTCTGGCACAAACGGAATGGCCCGTGAATAGTATGCCCATAAATGCAAGAGTCTTTAAGACCACACACTCAATGACCATGCTTAGCAATGAATTAAGGGGGACTCTTCAGACCAGTTCAATGTGACTCAGTCAGTATTTACTGGCCCAACCACCATCTGGGACGGCAACCACTTCGAAAGGGTGATCCAGTCTGGTTTGTAAACTGCTGTTTTTTTTTCGTTTAAATGTGACAGAAATAGGGCTTGCAAGGAGCTCGCAAATCAAGTTTCTCCTTCCCACTGCCCATGTGCTCGATGCCTACAACCCTCATCTCCTATACACATCCTCCTCTGCCTCCTCCTCCTTCCTCTACCTCTTCCTCATCCTTCTTCCTTCTCCTCCTCCCCCTACCCCCTCTCCCTCCCAAGCAGATTGGTATTGTGGAATGTTCTAAAATACCATATGCCAGTACATTGGAGTGGACCTGTACATCCGGCCATGGATTGGTACAATCCAGTATCTGAAATTGGATTCCTTGAACCTAGAAATCATTTAAAGGGTAAAAGCCTCTATGTCTAACATTTACAATCAAAATACGTAGACACATAGCAAGAAATCTATATGACATCAACACACTCACACAAACAAACAAAACATGTAGACGAAGCATGTTCTTAGCTCCAGGCAAGCACATAGACAAAAATTAGACATGTAAAAAAGCCACAGGAACAGGTACACAGTACTATGCATGAAATCATTCACAATCAATCACAGATGTTGCTGCATATGATAAAAAAAATGCAAAATAAAGCAACAGACATTCCTCCACATGGCAATACTTGTAGACACACTAGCCATAAACTATAGTAGCACCAGAGCCTTCTCAAATTTTCACAAGGTGACAAGCCTATGGAAAGTTTTTAAATATATTGACCAATAAAACTAGAAAAGAAAATATAACATTGATCAATTAGCTTGGCTTACCAACAAAACATTATCCACATTTGACTGATTGAAGACTAGAGCCCTGACCATCGAGAAATTATACTACATATGTGTCTATACTCTAAATGATTTTGATCCAAACAAGGATAATAAAACAGAAATAAATTTTAAAGAAGAGTGCTTGCCTTGTTATCCTCAGGATTCACTTCTTTGTTTGCGCTCTCAGCCTTCTCAGAATCTGAAACTGGCCTCTCCAAATGCTGTTCTAAAGAGTCCTCAAGCACCTGCAATTTACAACTTAAAAATTAAACAAGAATAAAATAGGTGAATCAAAGCAAAGCCCAGGATATACACACACACACACACACATGCAATATATATATATATATATATATATATATATATATATATATATATATATATATATATATATATATATATATATATATATATATATATATAT